TAAATAAATAAATGTGACAGAACCAAGACCAAGTAAATATATCATATCAATGAATACAAAATAAGTTTAACTCAAGTGCCAAAACAAAAGAGATTTTCATATAAGATCACAAAGGAAAAATCAACTCTGCTGAAACCAAGGGGCATAACGTGATTCAAAAGGGTTAAAGAGAAAAGGATACACAAATAATATACTAGGTACATGGAAACCATAAGAAACCATAGGTTGTGAGCCTAAAAGTCATTAAACATTAAGACAAAAAGAACACTTTATAAAAATGCTAAAGGATATATTTGCAATACAATTTTAAGAGATTCATCTATATCACAAACAACAGCAACAATCTTAAAACAAAACTGCAATATATCCAAGAAAATATTAGTAATGAAAGACGTAGATTGAGGGGCGCCTGGGTGGCTCAGTCATTAAGCGTCTGCCTTCAGCTCAGGTCATGATCCCAGGGTCCTGGGATCGAGCCCTGCATTGGGCTCCCTGCTCTGCGGGAAGCCTGCTTCTCCCTCTCCCACTCCCCCTGCTGTGTTCCTGCTCTCACTATCTCTCTCTCTGTCAAATAAATAAATAAAATCTTTGAAAAAAAAAAAAAAAGATGTAGATTGAGACATGGTATTGCTCAATCCATGTAACATCAAGCAGACAACAAAATAAATAAAAATACAAATATCTAAATAATGTAATTAATATGCTAGATCTGGTTGATAAATATCAATTCCAAAATAAATTATTTACCTATTTTCAAGTTTCCATGTAACATCAAATAACCTATACACTAAAAAAGGAAAAATTTGTTAGAACGTGGGTTTTTACCATTAAATGTGTGAGTGCCAGTTATGTCTTTAAATAAACTGGCTATAAAACAATGAGAAATAGGTCGATCTCAAAGAATTTTCTAAGGATTAAATGAAATAATGTATTTAAAGCTTAGTAGTCTGGCACATGGTCTCAGATAAATTTTTCTTATTATTGTAGGATTTTGCTTTATGTTTTAGATATTCTTTATTGAAAGGAAACATTATTTCTGTGGTATAGTCATCTTCTTATCTAGAGTAACAGCAAAAATTCATTTATAAAGAATCTAAAAATCACATTTTTCCAAAATGGAAGTCATTGTCGTAATACTAAAATTTCAACTGATATATAAAATGCATAAACTAGAATGCAAAGAGTTTACACAGTCTTAAACTTCCTTGCCCTATTCCATCACACCTCTTTGAGATACAAACACACATAAGTTATTCACATTATATTTAACTTAGTTAAAAAATATGTCTTAAGAGAGGGGGCGGAGCAAGATGGCGGAGGAGTAGGAGACCTGGATTTCGTCTCCTCTCAGGAATTCAGCTGGACAGGGATCAAACCATTCTGAACACCTACAAACCCAACAGGAGATCGAAGAAAAGAAGAGCAACAACTCTCTCATCAGAAAAGCGACCACTTTCTGGAAGGTAGGACGTGCGGAGAAGTGA